AGTTTTACGAATGACATACATCTTCACGACATGGTCGCCCATGAACTCTCCCCCCTGCAAGTCTCTCCTCAAACGATCTTCTTTTTCCCACTTCAAATCCTAGTTTCAAATCTCCTTTAGGTTCAGTTAGTTAAATAAAAAAATTTTGAATTCTGGTTGTTTATGTTACCTAAAAAACGTTGCATTATTGTAGTGCTGCTAGTGCATTGTAGTGCATCTGAGTTGTGCATACCTACATACTTATATCTGAGTTTTAACCTCTATATATATATATATATATACGCACACGTATTTGTATATGCTTGCAAGCAGCCAAGAACTTGGAACCGAAAACCCACTTGTCCAAAAGGATTTTCCAAGGGAAAAAAATGGAGTCAATGGAAGGGAGCCATTGCAGAAGGGGAGTGGAGTTCTCTTAGTGGAATGTGTACCATTGAGGAGGCTGATTTCATGGATCAATTGCGCAGTAGCTTACCCATTCATGATGAGTCTTCAACTCTAAACACAACAGGGTCCTCGTACTGTTTCTCGGACATTGCTAATGACACTAGTCCATACAGTTTTTGGCATAGTCCCATATTCTCAATGGATTTTTATATTGAAGATGCAACGATTATTCGTATCTCGTCGAAGCTGCCCTTCCCGGTAAGAATTCGAACCCCTAAAGGGAAACCGAGATGCCTCGGCCCAAATAGGAGAGTTCAAAGAAAAGACCTCGAAGTTCAGGGGATGTGAGTAGAAAGACAAGTGCATTGTTCTTTTGGTAATGATGACCTATATGCAGCATTTTCCGATCATAATTCAACGGTGCAGGTACAAAAGAACCGGAGAAATTCGAGGCCAAAGAAGAATCAAAACAATTTCCGGACGACGGATGATGGTGAAGACGGTCACCAAAGGGCAAAGCGGGAGTAATTAAGGGAACAACCATTGATCTCCAAAGCCTTTATGCAAGCGTAAACTATACACATTATTGAAACCATGTCACAAGAGAAATAATGAATAAATGAGTGTGTCGGAACCGTCTTTCGGTTAGACATGAAATTGGGCTTCGACTTGGATTAAATGGTTAGGAGTCGCCACCGATCATTTATTTTAAAAATAAAACAGGTTGATCGAATACCTTATCTCTTACCTGATCTGCGTCTTACATGTGTCAGATTCGGGAGTCGGTTACAGTCAAGGAAGGTCTAGCACCCTTGAACTGCCCTTTCGGTACTGTGTAATTTCCAGTTATCTTAAATTAAGAAAGTTGTAAGTTAAATTAAAAGATAACATGACGATCCAAATTACCTACCTCTGATTGATTGAAAATATACCATTTCAAAAGTCGAAAGACGAGTTAGAGGAACAAATGGAAATAAATAAAATAGAGAATGATAAAGGAAATAGGGAATTCAACATGAATATAACAAGGCAAAGAAAATAAAAAGGAATACAAAACACAAATAAAAAATAGAAATAAAATTAAAATTAAAATAAAAAAAAAAATAAAAAAAATAGATAAAGTAGTAATAATCTATATACAATTGAAATTAATAAATAAATAAGATGAACATCAGGAATATAAAAAAAATGAAAAAAGTAAAGAGAAAGATGAAAAAAGCATATATACCATATAACCAAAAAACAATAATCAAATAAGAAATAATATATATATATATATATATATATATAGTAATGAACGGATAAAAACAGGAATAGCATATATTTACATAAGGTGTAACAGAAATATAAACTATGTACATAAACATATATAGATTAAAATAATAATAAAAAAAGTAAACAAAAATAAAAGAAAATACATATATATATATATAATAATAAACGTAATAAATAAATCAAAATAAATTAAAAAAGGATTAATAATCATAAAATTAAAATTTGAAGCAGGGATTAAATCGAAAGGAAAGCGAATGAGGTGGCCAAATTAGAATGAAATCGGGTTTTTAATGCAATTTAGGGACCAAAATCGAAGGTTTAAAAACAAGAAGGATCGAAATCGGGGTTTATCCCATTTATAACGAAAACACGCGGATCCTGTGCGTGGAGTGGATCGGGTTACGATCAAAAACGGGTCAGCTATATAACCCATTTTCCTGAAAACGCTCCTCCATTCTCTCATTTGGTCCAAAATGGATCAAAACAAATTTTTAAAATTCTCTACATGTTCTTCATGTGTTCTTGGGGATGAAGAACACGGCCATGGTTTCCAGAAACTGGCCACCGCACCAACTCACCGGCGCCGCAACGGCGCCGGCCGCCGTTCATCGACGGCGAAACCCGAAAAAAAATATTTTTTTGAAAGCCCTTTTCCTCCTCATTTAGAAAACCAAATCCGTTTTTTAGAAAAAAAAGCCTCGGGGTGCAGAACTAGGTTCGAAATCTTTAAAACCCCACCTCTGTTCATCGGCTTTTAGTGTATTTGGGGTTTAAATAAAAACAACATGAAAGCAACGACATGCAAGCCATCAAAGCGAAGAAAGGTATGATCTTTACCTTTTGTTCTTCTCAAAAACACAAAAAAAAGTCTCGGTTTTGCCTGAATAATGCTTGTAACATGCTCGAAAGTTTCTGCTTTTTATTTCCTATCTGAATCGTAAATACAACGGGGATTACATCTTATTTATAGTATAAGAAATAAACTGTGCCTAGAGATTGAATCCGAGTAAGACTCGGTTTGGTTGTTTGGAATCCCACTAATGCACGTTGCTTTGCTTGTGTTTCATGTGCTTACGTTTGTTGGTGGTTGTTTGAGGAGTTCTCGGCGCCGAGAAAACCGGGGATGAGTGCCGGTGAGATGTGGGATACGGGACTCTCGTATGGGGACAGTTACGGCGCTAGCTGGAACTTGTTAGGGTTCCTGGAAACCTTTGCTTGCTGGGTCACGAGCCTGTTGGGCCTGGAGTTGTGTAGTGTGGGCCACTTGGTCTTGTAAATGGTCTTTTATTAGACCTGAAGCATGTAAAAACCCAAAATAAAATATAATATATAATATATGTAATTTATGTTTAGTATACTATATACTTTAAACGTATGACCCCATAGAACGAAATGTCGTGTCTACAGAGTGATCAATGTCTGTTACCTACATTGCAGAAAAGAAGGGAAAGGATTAATAAGAGACTTAGAATCATAGTTACATAAATCGCTCATTTGGCCACGATCTACGTACTGAGCGTTGTGATCCAAAATGCAGTACGAACGCGTTCAGATCGTTTCAAAATCGCGATCGGATCGTTTCAAAATTGCGATTCGGTACATCGTAGTTTTGCAGTTGGATAAGAGGATGCAATCAGAAAAATAAAGGGATTGGGGTTTGAGAGAAAAAATCAGAGGAGAATAAGAGGGAGGGGAAACCGTTTCAAAATAGCTCCTCGTCGGGGCTAATGATTGATTATCGAAGTTTTTTGGGTTTTCTTCTCAGGTGATGGAAGAGAAGAGGGTTCAAACTTCGAAGTTGCTTGGGTTTGGGGTTGTGAAGAGTTTTGGCCATGCGGGTGTGAGGAGTAGAGGATGAAGAAGAGAAGAGGTTCAAAATGGCTCAAGGGGAAGGGATTAAGTTTAGCATAAATTATGATCTATTTTTAGGTTAAATTTTAAAGGCTTTAGATAGTTTGGTTAAACACTGTCGTTTAATTGGGGTCTAGGATGGTCCATTTTTGTTCGCGTGGGTTTATTCCTAAAGGAGCAATGCTCATTTTTTATTCAATTTATTTTAGTCCTTAAATCGGATTTATGCATATTAGATTTTGAGTTTTTAATTATTTTGTTCCTAATGGAGCCATGCATAATTGATCTCTATCTTAGAAACTGGTTCATCGTACCAATTTGTATGGTACATCGTACCGGAGCTATCTGAAAGAAGTCTACCCCCCTCGTACCGAATTTTAGGGACCTAGCGAATTGCGATCCCGTTCCACGTTCTCGTACCGAGCGTACCTCGATCCATGTGACTATGCTTAGGATACTGCAGAATCTTAGCACAATGCTTGAAGAAGCTGTCCAATATGTGAAGTTTTTGCAGCTCCAAATCAAGGTAAGAACAAAAAGAAAAGATGTTTATTATTATAATCTTCAGGCTGCAGAATTAATTTTTCTGAGGAAACTTTGCAGATGTTGAGTTCGGATGAATTATGGATGTATGCACCCATAGCTTACAATGGAATGGGCATTGGACTTGATGATCTGCACCTCACCAGACAAAGATGATGCTACAACGACTATGCGTAGGATTCTTCCTGGTAGGTTTAGCTGACTAATGCCTGAAATATGATACTTCCATATTGTACTCCACTTCCCATCTTTCTATTGCTTGGTATTTGCAATGTCATTTATCAAATCAACTAAGCTCATCCAATATCAATAACTCACATTATAAGCTTAACCAAATAAACATAAAGCATCGATTATAAAATTTGGATCATCAATTATTTTTTTTATTAAACTAAGATAATTATAAAGTAATATTTGTGTTAAATAATCTCAATCATTTGACAATGAACACTCAATCACCCCTACTACAGTCGCTAATGCTCGAATTCGGGATCTCTAAGAATAACAACTATTCCTTGAACTACTAAAATAATTTTGTTCGAGCTGCCAAATTTCTATGTTGGTAATTTTGAATGCCGGCTTTGATAAAACAATGAGATTGGTTCCCATGCTTAAATTTAAAATTCTTTCCTTATCCATGATTTTGGTACAACTTTACTTTTGGATGTTACAATTAAATTATGGGTTTGGTCCTTCCATTGTGTTCAAATTTAGGATTGTCCCTAATCATAATCACATATTCTACACATTGATCGACTAATATAATTCAGATTGTTGAAATTATGTGACTCTCTCTGGATCTAATATATTTCATTCAAAACGATGAAATTCAAAACCTAATCTTTGCTTAAAAGACCTATTGAATCATCTTATATCGATGCAATTTCTCACATAGTTCGTAATATCTATCCAACAAAACAATAACGCCTTTCAACCCTCCCAAAGCTCCAAATAGAATACAATAACAAAAAATCTCAGCTAAAACTTACATGGCATAAACGCATTACACAACTGCCACAGATTGTGGAAAAGATTCTGAGGATTTAGAATTTGTAAATCAAATTTCTCAGATGTCACCATCCACCATTGCCCCATATAACCAAAGTAGTCCACCTATTCTCAACTTTTTCAACATGTTATGATTTTAAGTCACCAAGGAACAAAGACCAACTTCTAATCCCAATCTGTTTATTGTCCCAGATACCTTTACATATCAATAACATCCATGCTTGAAATCCAAATGAATCGAAGGGCATAACAACCTCCTCATCGACCACCTACCCTTGGAAAATATTCCAGTGTTTGTTCATGCACGATCTTCGCTTACGTGGTTGGGAACTTCGCTTTGACTATCCAGAGGCATGTACTGCGCCATTATAGCTCGGATTTCAGAGTCCATGTATGACTGCAAAAAGTAACAAAACAGGGAAACATTACAAGATGAAACACTATATGCTAGAGGATTCAATGCACTCCAAAGGTCGATATAATGCACCAACTTACCCTTAATCTATATTTGTAAACAAGATATGCACCACCGCCAGCCATCCCCAAGCCAATTAAAATGATCCAAACAGCAGCCCATGCCGATCTTACTTCAGTACCAGTCTTACCTGTGATCGAGAAAGGAATCAACATCAAAATGTTAACCACATGTTATATACTCGAAAGAAAATAGGTTCTGAGCAAATCCTAGAACTCACTTATGCAGGTATCATGATCCCTCATATACAAAAGATCTCCGCTGCAAGTGCACTCGTAGCTTCCCCAGGTATTTTTGCAGCTGCATTCAGGGCACTGACAGGCTTTCTTCTCCTTGCATTCATCGACATCTGCAAGATGACAAATGTCAGAAGCATCAAATAACTTGATTCCCTTCAGATACACAAAGCTTCTATCTATTTTCCTGAATTTTAACGTTTACGTTTTGAGACTCTGAGTTCCTAATAACATCTCGAAAGATATATTTAGTCTTTAGGGAATTCACCTTCGCAACTTTTGACACCATCACCTTTAAACCCAGGAGGACACCGACATTTAACATCTCCGGTATCCTGTTCAAAGCATCGTTTAGAATTTAAATTATTTTCAAAAGGATTGTAAAGAAAATAATAGTAGGAGCTTAGAAACTAACCAAACAAGCGGAGTACGAATGGCCATCTTGTGATTTATGCCAACAACCTCCATTGTTAATATTGCACCTTCCAGGTCCACTAGCTGAATCGTGAAAAGAAAAGAGCATCGTGAGAGAACATTATGCAGGTATAAGAATTGAATGAAGAAAAAAACAGAAAAATTCCCTGTTCAATGAAGTTGTCTTGTCTCTATCAAACATATGAGAAACATAAATAAAAGTTATTGACGGGCTTCAAACCGAGGCATAAATACAAACAACAAATCCAGCTAGTCCCAGAGGTGGGCATTATAAAAAGACCATAATTTTATATTTCAAAAGTAACTTCGAAGTAAAAGTTAAATCCGGGAAAATGAAATCATCAACAATGAATCTCAATCCTCACCTTCACAGTGAGTATAACCATCTCCTTTGAATTGCACAGCATCAACCAAGGGACATTCACAAACTCTACCTCTAAATGTATCCTGAGCATACCAATATAGAGAGAATTAATGCTGTTGTAATACCATAGAGAACCTCTATCAAAAAAGTTTTAATTTTTACCTTGCAAGCTGTGAGATTGGCTGCTTTATCTTGCCAACAACCACCATTGTTCTCCAAGCATTCATTAGTCTCCACATCTGAAACAGAGGAACCCACCGTCATTCTTGTTTCAAATAACCAGATGTAAGTTGAACAGCTAGATTTGCCACATCTTCCCAGAGCAGGCTCGGGAATTCTAAGAGATAGCCCTTGCCCCTTGGAAATTTTGGTCACACAATTTTCTCTTGGAAGCCAGACACTACATTCTACGCTAGCCCCTTAGCAGAAACAGACTAAAATATTTCGCTTGCAAGAATATACAAGAAAAACGTACCACCGCTCAAACAAACAGCTGGTTCAGTGGTCTCTTCAAAACCAGAACAGATGGCCTTTAGAACAGCACCTTTGGCCAGCTTCCCTGTACACAGATATGTCAGAAAGGAAATCAACGAAATTGCATCTTTGAAATATAGGCATGAATACAAACCTCTATATTGTCGATTGTTGACAACAAGGGTAGGCAATATGGTAACATCACCCCTGGATCCTTTTCCCACCTATAGATAATGTTTTGTTTAAACAGTCTTCCACAATTAAGAGCTCCAGAAAGGTAAATGATGATGAAAAATACATAAAACCGAAAGTAGAAAAACATAAATATATAAGAATAACATAATTACTTGGGCATCTTGTTCTTCTTTCAGAACAGGATTATTGGCATCAGCATTAGGGTCTCCCATACAGTCATCGATCTTTTTAACATCAAGCCCTGAACAGAATAGTATGAGAAAATCGTGAATCAATCATTACTAATTTCCAGTAATATTAGAAGAACATATAAGTGAGATATAGGATTTTTTCAATTAACTATTTACCAAGAGATTTTATAACCTCGTCGGCACATTCCTTGTTATATTTTTTCTCCTTCATGGGGCATCTTATTTGAAAATCTGTCACGTAGTCCCACCACAACCAAGCCCTGTTGGACTCATTTGCCACTCTGAAAACACATAGCTGCCTTAAGTTTTCAATCACGACGTCTTTCCCTTCATAACCCGAGCTAAAATCTTGTTCGGGATCGGGTGCACAATATCTCCCATGGTTGATACATTGAGATTTGCACTGTTTGCTAATGGTGAAAGCCTGAGGGCAGTACCAAGTTATATAATGGGGTGTGAATTGAGTATAGCCACCTTTCTCAAGTATCTGAGCAGCACCCTTGAAATCCTTCAAAAACTCCATCAGCATATCACATTTAACACCACATTCATCATTGCTGTTAGACCATAACTCATACTCCACACGATCATCAGGGTGCGGAACAGACTCACGCCAGTCGAGATTAACATTGACCATATCCCCACTACCGATTGCTTTCTTTAGAGCTTCACCAAAAGTTTTCTGAATAAGGGCAGACGGGATCGTTATATTTTCAATGTATCTGGCGGATGAACTATCCTCTTCGGGTGTGTCCATAGTTATTAAAGGTTCTTCCATATCATCTGCAACAAGAACAGCTGAAGCACCTGCCTTCTGCACATTCCAGACCTTCAAAGCAAAGAAGCAATCTGGGAAAATAATAAGAACATAGAGACATTAAATGCCGAATTGCATATCGTCACCGAGTACAGGCCACATGAAAGTGAATTTATATCCACACATCTATCAGAGAATGTAATAATTCAATAAGCACCAAGATCTATTCAAGCAGCCTATTACAAAAGAGAAAATATAGGCATGCCATCCCAAATCAAAGGGTAATCCATTATTAATCATAAGGCCAATCAAACTTAAACTACACCATAATTAAGGGGAAGAAAATAAGAGCTAAAAAGCCAACCCTAAATTTCAGAAAACAAATAGGATAAAAAGGGAAAAGGGCATCAGTCCAAGTAACTTGAGCAAGCTAAAACGAGGAAAAATAATTACATATATAAAAAAAAAGTGAACCCAACAAAAATAATTAAAACTATGCAGATCTAGGAAAAGGGTACCTCCACGATCGACCAAAACAAAAGTAGGAAGAGCGCCGGGCTTGGATTGAAAAGAAATCCCGAACTCATCAAAAGCCTTACAAGCCTTTTGATTATCTTTAGGGTAAACCACTGTACCAGCCATGCTTCCCCCATATTGAGGTATCCCAAAATTCCCAATCGCGCTGTCGTAGGTTCCCTTTATCTTCTCCGGCGAAGTCACTGACAAGCTGTTCTTTTCAACCACAAATCTAGCATCGCCGCCGCCTGAAGCAGACAACAACACGAAACTAAGAAAGACAACATGCAACAATCTTCTTAGCTTCATCTCTTTGCTTTCTTTTTTGGGGGTTTATGGGTTTGGGGTATCTCAGTTTAAGGGAGGCAGTCAAGGATAACTTGAAGATCGGGTAAGAAAAACATGGAAAACAGGAGACTTGGGGAAGCTATGTTATTTTCTATTTTTCCCGTTGAAAAAGGAGAATAAGGGTAAATAAATGGAAACTGCTGGGGTGTTTCTTGACCAAAAGCTTGGGAAAATCACTATATTTAATATCAATCAACTACTGATATTACTCTGCTAAAAAAGTATTAAACACCGATATATATATATATATATATATATTTGTTGTCTCTCTTATTTCTAAAATTTTATCTTGATTAATTTAGATCGAATCAAATTATACATCCAATTTTAATAAATAAATTTTTTAACAATTTTTTTTATTTACACAAAAACTTAAATTCAAAACTTATTTAAACAATATTAAATTACTTACTATTTAAACTATTATTGATAAACATCAAAATCTTCAATTCCATCCGATCCTTTAGTGATGCCGTCACATCTTGTTCTTACATTAAATTTTCTCATTTATGAGTTTACTTACCCTCTACATATATATATTATTCGGGTAGATTGAGAGTTTTTGTAACATTTTTCATTAGATTTTGAATTATATAAACTGTGAATCTATTTATTATTATTTATTTATTTTAATTTTGATTTAAATGAATAGTTAATAAGTTAATAGACGGGGATATCATTCTATGTGTTGGTCACTATCTTCGATATTTTTATTTTTTATTTTATTTTTTTATCTTTAATTTTTTTTTAATTTTTTAGTTTTTAATAAATCTATGTTTATGGTGTAATTTTCTCTGTTTTTATAGCATATTTTCGGTTGTTTGACTGTTATTTAATTTATCTTTTTTCAATGTTTGATTTGACATCGCAACGATTGATCAATATAATACTTATTTGTTATCATGTTGATCTTCTCTGCTTTAAAACCTTATATTAGATTTAGATATGTGATTTGCGTTTCTTGAATAGTTTTTTTCAGTTTGCTAGATTATGATTTACGGTTTATCAATAGTCTTTTAGTAAATTTATCTTTTTTTGTGGTTCGTTCACTGATGTGATCAGGTATATTCGTATCTATCTTTTGTTTAAGTTTTTTTGTTAGGTTTTTAAACTTTTACTTGTATGGTTCATGCGTGATCTTAAGTGCATAGATTTTGTGTTAATGATTATAGAAAAATACCTTAATTATGTGATTAATTTACGTTTACAATTGTAAACATTTATTGTAATTTTGAATATTTCATTATTATAGTAAAACTAGTTTTTTCCATAAAAAATAATTTAAATGATAATTGTTAAATATATTAAATTAAATTGATATCAATTTCGTTATAATGCATAAATTATAAAAAAAAATTACTTTTTTTAGGGTGAAATACATATTTAGGTTTTCAATTATAACTTCCATTCCATTTTGGACACTCAAGTATTTTTTATTTTAAAATCACACTTAACATTAAAAACAAAACCAAACTAGGTACTGCATAGGCCCAATATAAGGATGACCCTCTTAACCTAAGTTGCCCATTTGTAAGAGTTAGGATTTGGACTTATAACTTTTCTTTAGAGGTTTAATGTCTCATATCACTTGACCAGATGATTATTATTTTATTGTTTGAATCAATATTAAATTTATTAAATTTAAAAATATATAATTAAATTAAATCAAACCAAATTCTATAAATTAAATTAATAATTTATAAATATTACAAGATTTAATGACAAAAATTCATTTTTTTTTCTAAAATTTTAAACTTCATTTGGACAATGATTTTTATTTTCTAATGTTTGATAGAAAAAAAAATCTGAACTAATCTTAAATTTACTTAAGAGTATTTATGTGAGTTTTTATTTTTTTTATTGTTCCTTTTCTATTTTTGACGTTTAATTTGTACATTTCAATTTTAAAGAAATATTGTGTTTATATGAAAAATTCTACAATTAAAATCGCACACCGCAATATACCACTAAAGCGACACACCTAAACACAACACTAGTTAAATTGTCCTTATTAAGTAACTATTAAAAAGGTAAATTACACGTTTGTGTCTAAATTATCATTTTTGTTTCATTTAAGTATCTATTTTTTTTAAATCCTATTAACGACAATGCTTATGAGGTATGACATGTCAATTTTGTATTTTTAATTACCACGTCACCTTTTTCTCTATTCGTCAATATTTTTAATTAATTTTATTCACCAATTAGGTGGTGACACGTGTCACCACCTTTGGGGATAAAAATATTGAAATCATTCTTGCTCCTAATATATATTGAACATGAGTCTCTTATATGAGAAACAAATCACTCAACAATTAAGCTAAACTAGTCATTTAAGTAATTTTCACCACATTTAATATTTAACTTATACAACGTTATCACCACAAAATCAATATTTCTGGATGATTACAAGATTCAAATATGAGGCACTTTAAATTAACGACCGAAAGCTTAGTCACTTAACTATAATGAATTTTTTTTATTATACTAAACTTAATACTTACTTATTTCATTATTAGATTAAAAGACTAATTTTCACTTTATTTAGAAATAAAAAATAATTAAATAATTAAAACTTTTATAAAAATTATATGAAAATGGGATTAGTAGTTAAATGCCGACAAAAATAAATAATTTGGTGAGTTAGGTTAGCAGCCTTTCTTTAAAAAATTAAGATAATTAACTAAAACATTGATTTAATCGTCTTGGATTATGTGATTTGGCAACATAAGGAACACGTGAGTTGATCTAAAATATATATTTCACTTCTTATTTTAATGTGCTTTTAATTTATATACTTATTTTTTTTTAAATTGTTAAAAGTATAGTTGATCTAAGGGTGTATTTGATAACTGAAAAATATTTTCGTCATTTTTTTGTGTTTGAAAGTTGGAAAGTAATTTTTGAAAAATGTTTCCCGGTGTTTAATAGTTGTAATTGGTTTTACGGAAAATATTTTCTAGTGTCTGATAGTTATAATTGATTTTCGCTATGTAATTTATTTTCCCAGTTCCTTTGTAACTTATGTAAATTGTTTTACCGTCCGAGTATAAGCACTCAAAAAAATATTATTTTATACATTTAATATTACATTGATATTTTAATATCATTTTAATACAAATATTTATTATTAAAATATTTAATATACATATAATATAATTTTAATAATATTATATATTTATATATACTTAGATATATTATAATAATATATGATTTTATATTTTTAATTTAATAATATATAAATAAATTATTAATATAATTCATATTGTCTATTATTTTTATAAATATAATATTATTAAATTATTAATAATGAGTAATATTAATTTATATATTTAATATTAATATAATAATTTAGTATTATGTTAATAAAATGGTAATAATTAAAATTAAGGGTGTTCAAATAGTTCATTCAATCATCTATCGAATTGAATTAACATTAACAAAATAAATCAAACTTTTTTCTTTAACTGTTAATCGAATCAATTTTTTTAAATATTAATTGAACCAAACTTTATTCATTTTATGTAAATCATTTTCTATAAAATTAATTATAGTGTATCACACAATTATATTAACCGAACCAAACTTTATTCATTTTATGTAAATCATTTTCTATAAAATTAATTATAGTGTATCAAACAATTAGTGAAAATGATTTACACAATATCATCAAAACACCGTAAAATAGTTTTAAAAAATTATTTCCCAGAAAATGTAATTCATTTTACGTAAAACATTTTTCATGTAATTCATTTTATATAAAACAATTTTCAGGTAATTTATTTTATGTAAATTATTTTTTTTAAAAACCAATTATAGTCTATCAAACAGACCTACGTGTACATGCTATATGTAAACCTCTCATGATCTCCCATTAATAATTCCTTGTAGATGTGAAATTATGATAAGTGAAACATGATTGTTGGTATTTTCTTTTAGCATCCTTATGATTAGTGACGAATATATAAAAAAATTTAGAATAAATACACATATATTAATAATATAAATTTTGTATATCTTGATGATACGATAAAATTTCAGATTAAGTATTATTAAAATTTAGAATATACACACATGTTTTAATAAAAGAAAATTTCGAGTTTTAAGAAAAAATCGAATTCCAAAAAAAATTGAGAGTGGACACATTCAACGAACGTCCGCCACTGATAATGGCATCTAAACTGTCCACTTCGATTATTAGGTGTCGAATCCCTATATCCCAGGTGTATTGTAGCCCAAGATACATTCCCCACAGTCGACCTGTAGAATTTAACTAATTCTCATGAATTTTTTAAATCTGAGTTTTCACATACCAGTCTGGTCTCTTACTACTCTTGTGCATGTCGTCTTCTCATCTTTCTTCATTCGAGTTTCAACTGTGTTCACTTTGGGCTACTCATCTAGTGGTGACAGAGATACGAGTACTTTTTAACCACCTTAGACTGATCAGAAAATTAATTTCAAATATTAATAATCAAATTTTGATAATAAAAAATGATGTTATGATTTTTAGTTAAATTTAATTATGTGATTTTATTGATTAGTGGCATGTAAAATTGATTTTTTATAACTTGCATGTAATAGTATAAACAATTAAGGGTAAACTACAAGTTTGATTCATTTTTGTACCTAAACTTTCATTTGTTTAAAATTATTCCTAACATTTACTTTTTATTTTATTTTAGCACTTCATCGTTAAAAACTTAGCGAAATTGCTACAACATGACACTTTTTTATAGGTAAATTATATTATTTATCACTCAACTATCTTCTCACTTCTATTTTGGTCACTTAAGTTTACTTTTTTCAGTTTAATTACTCAACTTTCAAACTATTCCTAATTTAATCACCCTAACTTTCAAATTTAATCTTTTATTTTAATTATTTATTAATAAAAGAATTCATGTCACAAAAATTATAAAATAAAATAGTGATTAAAACATGAGCAATTTGAAAGTTGAGTAATTAAATTGAAATTTTTTAAACTTTAGTGACCAAAACATGAGTGAGAATATAGTTAAATGATGAATGGTGTAGTTTACCTATAAAATACCACATGCAGTAGTTCCATTAATTTTTTTAACGACTGAGTAT